TTCTGATAGGTTTTCCTGTTTGCTGGCATACAGGTCCTTGTAGTAATTTCTGATGATTCTTTTTATTTCTGTGGTGTCTGTTGTTACATTTCCTTTTTCATCTCTGATTTTATTGATTTGGGTCATTTCTCTTCTTTTTTCAGTTAGTTGGGCCAATGGGGTGTCAATTTTGTTTATTTTTTCAAAAAACCAGCTTCTCGCTTGGCTGATTTTTTGTAATGTTTTTCTTGATTCAATCCTGTTAATTTCTTCTCTGGTTTTAATTATTTCTCTTCTCCTACTAGATTTCAGTTTGGTTTGCTGCAGTTTTTCTAGGTCCTTGAGGTGCGCTGAAAGCTCATTTATTTGGTACCTTTCCAATTTCTTGGTATAGGCACCTATTGCTATAAATTTGCCTCTCAATACTGCTTTTGCTGTATCCCATAAGTTTTGATATGTTGTGTTGTTGTCTTCATTTACTTCCAGAAAGTTTTTGATTTCTCTTTTGATTTCTTGAATGACCCAGTGTTCATTCAGGAGCATGTTGTTCAGTCTCCATGTGTTTGCATACTTTCTGGGGTTTCCTGAGTTGCTAATTTCCAGCTTCATCCCGCTGTGGTCTGAGAAGCTGCATGGTATGATTCTAATTCTTTTAAATTTGCTGAGACTTGCTTTATGGCCTAGTATGTGATCAATCCTAGAGAAGGTTCCATGCACTGCTGAGAAGAATGTGAAGTCTGTAGATGTAGGGTTGAAAGTTCTGTAGATATCTGTTAGATCCATTTGGGCAATAGTGTCAATTAAATCTGCTGTTTCCTTGTTGATCTTCTGTCCGGATGATCTGTCTATTTCTGAGAGTGGAGTATTGAAGTCCCCCAGTACTATTGTATTGGAATCTAAATCTCCCTTTAAGTCCCTTAACATATCTTTTAAATAGACCGGTGCCCTGTAATTAGGTGCATATACATTTATAATAGTTACATCTTCCTGTTGAATTGAACCCTTAATCATTATATAGTGTCCCTCTTAACAGTTTTTGTATTAAAGTTTATTTTGTCTGATATTAATATGGCTACACCTGCTTTTTTTTGGTTTCTGTTGGCATGGAATATCTTTTTCCAACCTTTCACTTTCAGTCTGCATGCCTCTTTGTTAGAGAGATGTGTTTCTTGTAGGCAACAAATAGTTGGGTTGTGTTCTGTGAGCCAGTCAGCCAAACGGTGTCTTTTAACTGAAGAATTCAGACCATTAATGTTCAATGTGACTATTGATACGTAGTGACTTTGCCCTGCCATTTTCCCGGAAATATTTTCTAGTATATGCTTTGAGCTTCCCATGCTCTTTTACTGGTAGGTGTTCTTCCTTTCCCTTCTTTCATATTGATGTCCGTGTTTCTGTGTTTCTGAGTGTAGCACATCTTTAAGTATCTTTTGCAGGGCCGGACGAGTGGCCACAAAGTCTTTCAATTTCTGTTTGCTATGAAAGGTCTTTATTTCACCTTCATTCACAAATGAGAGCTTGGCAGGATATAATATTCTGGGCTGGCATTTTTTCTCTCTTAGCACCTGTGCTATGTCTCGCCATTCCCTCCTAGCCTGTAGTGTTTCTGATTAGAAGTCTGCTGTGAGTCTGATTGGAGATCCTCTGAGAGTAATCTGCACATTTTAGGATCTTTTCTTTATGTTTCACTGTGGTAAGTTTAATTACCACGTGTCGTGGTGAGGATCTCTTTTGGTCATGTTTACTGGGGGTTCTATGAGCTTCCTGTACTAGGATATCTCTGTCCTTCTCCAAACCTGGAAAGTTCTCTGCTAGTATCTCACTAAAAAGGCCTTCCAATCCTTTCTCTCTCTCCATGCCTTCAGGAACTCCTAGAACTCGAATGTTGGTTTTTTTAATAGTATCCTGTAGATTCCCAACAATATTTTTTAGATTTCTAATTTCCTCTTCTTTTCTTTGGTTTGACTGTATGTTTTCCTGTGCTCTATCTTCTAAGTCCGATATTCTCTCTTCTGCTTCACCCATTCTGTTTTTAAGGCTTTCTAATGTGTTTGTCATTTGATCTATTGAGCTCTTCATTTCATTTTGATTTCTCTTCACTATAACACTTTCCTGTTCTACTAGTTTCTGAGTTTCATTTTGACTCTTCCTTAAAATTTCATTTTCACGAGAGAGATTTTCAATCTTGTCCATTAAGGATTTCTGTAGTTCAAGGATTTGCTTTTGAAAACTTCTAAATGTTCTTATCATAAATTTTTTGAAATCCGTATCTTGCATTTCTTCTATCTCATCATCTTCATACTCTTGGCTTGGGGTGTTTTGCTTATTTGGAGGCATCATAGTGTCATCGTTGATCTTGCTCCCTCTATTTCTGTGTTTGTTACTCGGCATAGTTAATTCTTCTTGCGTCACTGTGCGTTTTTTTTTCTTTCTTTTTTTTTTTTTTTTTATGCTGTGTCCGTGTTAAGTGGACTGCCTGCTGTTGGAGGAGCCTTAGAGGCTTGAGATGGGTGCAGCCTGAGAGCTCTGCCGGGTTCTTCCTGGTTAAGGGTGTGCAAAGGTGACACCCTCAGGTTATGCGTGGTAAATCTCTCTCTTTTTATTTATTTATTTATTTTATTTATTCAGGGGGTAAGTAACACCGCAGGGCACGGCTGTGCAGAATTGATGGTATTTCGCTTCCAGTTTTTGGCTCCTCTGGACTCCCACTGGGTTGCCTAGGCTACTGAATTGTAGTGACTCAGTTCCTTAGCTCTCCCCCATTGATATGTAAATCCAGAGAGGAGGCCTGCTCTTTGTCTCTTGGGAATTCTTCAAGCCTTACAGCCTTGTAACCTTTGCAAGGTTAGGGGGAAGAGAAACCCCGAAGCTTTTTTTTCCTTCTTTCCGGTAGTGAGTTTGCTGCACTTTCCGGCCCCCCTCTAGATTCTGACCCCCGTTTCCCCACCAATGTCTCGGGTTATTGAGCTCACCTCCCCTTCCAGCGCCGATGTGTGGACTCGGAGCCCTGAGCGTCCCAAGTCTCCCCGCTGTTGTCTGTGTGGCATGCACTCCCCTTCGAGCAGTGGCGTGCAGACCCTGGGGCTTCCGCGGCTCGGTCCCGCGGCTTGGCTTCCGTGCGGTGGGCGACCTTGTTCTCCCAGTAGGTCCTCCGATTCACGGCCACTCCATCCAGAAGGGTTTCCCCTGCAATATTTTCCTGGTTCTTTTTTCTGCGGCTACTGTAACTCCCCTTTTATTAAACTAAATTTTCCCGGACTATCGGTGCGCGCCCTCACTATTCTGCCATCTTGGCTCCGCCTCCATGAGGATTTAAATTACATTGTGCGTTTAACACAGATTTATGTCATACATTTTAGAATACAGATCCAACTAAAAGCTTTGCTTGTAACAAAGGATCATTTCCCAATCATTCTGGAGATTGTAGCTGTCCAAAATAACTTCTTCCAAGATGATTTCGTATGGCTAAGAAGCTAACGAAATCAAATAAACCTTCTATTCAAAAGGTCCTATTATTCATACTCTCTTCTTGGTCCTTTTTCTTGACCTCATTTCATCACCTAAGCAGCCTCTCTCTGGCCATGTGCTTTGAGGACCAAAGCAACAGATGCTTGGCATTGCTGTGTTATGGCAACAGAGCTTGAAGAGGTTTGTTTTGCACAAATATAAGAGAGGAAACTACGTATGACGAAAGAGCAGAATGATTTACAATAGGATTGTCACAGGATGAAAGCAGTCTTGAATCTTAAAAATCAGGACTTAACTAAATGGAAAAGGTGAATGTCAGTTTATAACTAACACCACCCAATCCCCTGCAAAACTTAAGGAGCAACAAATCTATTAGAGTTGTACTCACTCCACCTCCTTGGGGCATGCTGAATTTTCATTTTGCTATTTTAAATGTTAATGCATACTAGCAATTGAAAAATCAAAGAGTTGTCCTAAGCTGTTCTACTATAAAATGACACTTATTATGACAGCTCTAGAAAGACAGTTCACTTTTCCATGTTCTGTTTATTCTGAGACTGTAGAAAATGACTTTGGACTTGTGTTTAGAGATGCAGATCCTATAGTTAGCAGTGCTGTTGGTCTCCATCTTGAGCTGTTTGGGGATTCTTCTAACAGTGGGTGAAAAACAGGAAGTCTACCACTTTTGTGATGGAGGGCATTTTACAAAGTGAGTGGCCTACACTGAAGCTGTTTCCATGGGTTTAGTGTGTCCTTTTAAATTTATGGCAGCTTATACAACCAATTGACACTGACCCACCGTCAGACCACGAGAGTGATTCTGTGGGATCACATACCACCTCCAATCTCTGCCATAGAGAGCAAGCACAGGAGCGGAACAGGCAAGAATCCCACCACCCACTTGCTGCTGGTTCTTGGTTGACATCACAACCCCATTGGGCTTCAGTTTTGTCATTTGCCAAATGAGTACCACCCCATCATCTCAACACAGCTGTGTGGATGGAACGAAACAGCATACCAAAGGTTTTCTTTTTTCTTTTCTTTTTTTTTTTTTTTGGACAGGCAGAGTGGACAGTGAGAGACACAGAGAGAAAGGTCTTCTTTTGCTGTTGGTTCACCCTCCAATGGCCGCCGTGGCCAGAACGCTGCAGCCGGCGCACCGCGCTAATGCGAAGCCAGGAGCCAGGTGCTTCTCCTGGTCTCCCATGCGGGTGCAGGGCCCAAGCACTTGGGCCATCCTCCACTGCACTCCCAGGCCACAGCAGAGAGCTGGCCTGGAAGAGGGGCATCTGGGACAGAATCCGGTGTGCTGGCGCCGCTAGGTGGAGGATTAGCCTATTGAGCCATGGCGCCAGCAACACACCAAAGGTTTTCAAAGTTAAAATGGCTATGTTCAAGTTTCAGGTCATATTTTGTTTTGATTTCAGTAGTTAATGTACAACTTGTGACTCGTCCTATCTGAGTCTTTGTCACTGATAACTTGGGGAAAAATTATACATACCTGAAAAGGTTATTATGAGGATTAAAGAAAAGTAAGACACTCAACTGCCAGGTCCTTGAAAAATGTAGGTTGATTTTTATTGCTCACTGATGATATACAGAAAGCACGGCCAATTCTGTGTAACTTATTCTGTTGACTACATCTTGAAAGTCAGATCAACCTCAATCCCTTCCAAACCTTTTTCTTGCACAGTCTCAGCATCAAACTGAGTGGAAGGCCGGCGCCGCGGCTCACTAGGCTAATCCTCCGCCTAGTGGCGCCAGCACACCGGGTTCTAGTCCCGGTAGGGGCGCCGGATTCTGTCCCGGTTGCCCCTCTTCCAGGCCAGCCCTCTGCTGTGGCCAGGGGGTGCAGTGGAGGATGGCCCAGGTGCTTGGGCGCTGCACCCCATGGGAGACCAGGAAAAGCACCTGGCTCCTGGCTCCTGCCATCGGATCAGCGCGGTGCGCCGGCCGCAGTGCGCCGGCCGCGGCGGCCATTGGAGGGTGAACCAATGGCAAAGGAAGACCTTTCTCTCTGTCTCTCTCTCACTGTCCACTCTGCCTGTCAAAAAAAAAAACCAAAAAAAAAACAAAAAAAAACAAAAAAAAAACAACTGAGTGGAGAGTTTGAGGTTTGCATGATGTACACGAAACACTGAATAGAACTTTGGGGGCATCTAATACTGACTAGTGCTACTTTTATGGGGAGTCAGAAATCCAAAGTTGAATATGGTAAATTCATTCCTCACAGCAGTTCACGTACCTAATGTGGGGAGGGAGGTGAGGAAAAGAGCCTATTGTTTTCTTTCTTTTTTTCTTTCTTTTTGGACAGGCAGAGTTAGAGAGAGAGAGACAGAGAGAAAGGCCTTCCTTCCGTTGGTTCACCCCCCCAAATGGCTGCTATGGCTGGCGCTGAGCCGATCTGAAGCCAGGAGCCAGGTGCTTCCTCCTGGTCTCCCATGCGCGTGCAGGGCCCAAGCACTTGGGCCATTCTCCACTGCCTTCCTGGGCCACAGCAGAGAGCTGGACTGGAAGAGGAGCAACCGGGACCGAACCGGCGCCCCAACTGGGACTAGAACCCTGGGTGCCGGTGCCGCAGGAGGAGGATTAGCCTAGTGAGCCGTGGCGCCGGCCAAGAGCCTATTGTTTTGATGAAAATTAACAAATCCAGTGGAATACACACATTGTTTTAATGCTTCTTCAACCCACGTGCCAGTGAGACCCTGTCTTATCCAAACACCTTCCCCTCCCGGAGACATTTTTCTGAGTCCCTCTGGAAGGCACGCCCTCTTCCTGAGTCCCACCCCCCTCTCAGTCCTCCAAGGCATCATGGGGCTCCCAAGGCGGGAGGGCTTGAGGCCACACCTCCCAGGTCACTGAATCAGGCAGGTGCTCTGGAAGAGGCTGGCGGCGGTCAGAGACAGATGTGACTGTGCTCCTGGCATGTGGTGCCCGCGCCTGCCACAGACAGATACAGCTTCCCGTCTGGACACACGCAGATTTCATAGAGCCCCTGCGAGCTGCCGGAGGCGGCTTGAGTTCCCTGCAGCAACTTGGGCAGACACACGGTTTCAGCATCGAGCACAAGCTGGTGGGGAGAAAGAGATGAGATGTTAGAAGAGGGAGGAATCCATGCGCAGGAATCAGCTCATAAGCCACACCCTCAGATCGCTTCTAGAGTGCCTAAGTGTTTCTCTAAGACGCCTGGTTTTCCAGCAATTGTACTTTTTCTTTTGTAAGTAAATGGGATTCTAACAATTAATATTGAGTGGCATGTATTCTCTTGTCTCGTTATGACTTTGGTCTGTTTTGGTGATGTTTGATTTCTAGACTTGAGCTCCCAGATTTTGTCCTTATTATGGTTGACTTTTACAAAGTGTCCTTATTTTTCATTTAAATTTCATTCTGTGTAAGTAAGCACTGCGCTCTGTGGGCTAAGAGGGAACTCATGTCCTTAGCGAGTCAGACTGAGAGATGCTGCATTAGTAGGAAATGACTACACTGATGTTCTCTGTAAGCTCCAAAAGTCTGCAGTGTTTTTTTGAAGTTGAAGATAGGTGACTTTGTAGCATACAGGCCAGTTAAAAACAGCTGTCCAGATCTACTATAGAATAACATCAAACTTCCTAGGCCCTTCTTTCAACTCGAAATTGTCTTTTGTTTCCATTTCATGTTATACTCTATGACTTTCCCAAGGTTTTGTTACAAACTAACAGAAATTTGATACAACAAAACCTCAATGGACTCCATACCCAGCGATGCTGTCAAGACATACAATAGGCATTTGGATCCATTCAACTTACCGTTCCGTCGGTACTATGGAGAACGATGTCCATCTGAGAAAGGGCCTCGACTTCCCCAGCATGAGCTTCTATATGAACTCCCCTTGGGGCATCCATGCTTAGGCTCCGTGTGGGGGATTCCAACCTGAATGAGGAAGAGCGAAAAACTCAAAAGGCGCCACCCCAGCAATCCCTCCACCACAGGCTGAGCACAGGAAACATAATTGATAAGGTATGGAGAATCTTCAAGTCACTCCTGAATGCTAGCATAATGCACATTATTCATTGATAAACCGAAGAATAATGTGCAGTAGGAAATAAACTTCCTGGTAATGAGAGACAATGAAATTAGATTTCTACAAACAGACAAAAACACGGTAGTGCTCTAATCCTGTGCACTGGTTGACTACTGCACCCCACACCAGAAGAGAATACCATTTGTGAATGAATTTGTGAAGTTTCAAACTTAGTTAAGAAACAAGCTTGTTTGGGGAACAGAAAAGAGAGATTTAAGGACAACATAGACTTTTACTGCATGATCAGGAGTCAGTGAAAGTTTGGCCTCTTGGTTTTGTTTGCATTTTTACCCTTTCATTTGCTGTTTTTTTAGAAAGATTATGGGGAGCATGGGGAGATGACTTCTCAAAAGATCCTGAACTGAGAGTGCTGAGAGATGGTGGTTGGCCTCAGCACGCTTTGTTTTTGAAAAATTAATCAGAATCTCCTTGAGGTTAATTCAAGCTTGGGAAGAGAACTGGGGAGACAAGAGCAAAGTGTTCTCCATTGTTTCTGCCTGGAGAAGAATTCCAGCAGGTGGCACAACATGATCACCGGGACGATTTTTCAGCTGCTCGGCCCCAAAGTTTGGAAAGCTGATTTTGTTGAAATTTTTCAAGATCAGTTAAGAGGCAGAATGCATAGAAAAAGATACGTCATTCAGAGACCCAGCCCAGCGTAGGGCAGGAAATGGCTAGAAGGCGTGGGAAGGAGAGGGGAGGAGAAATGGTATGAGAGAGAAGTGCCTCGGTAATGGATTTGCCTTTAAAGCAAGCGTTGTGGAGCTGGCATTGTGGTACAGCAGGCAAAGCGCTGGCTTGTCACTCCCACGTCCCATGTTGGAGTTCTAGTTTCATGTCCTAGCTGCTTTGCTTCTGATCCAGCTCCCTGCTAATGCATCTGGAAAAGCAGCAGAAGATGGCCCAAGTACTTGGGTGTCTGCCACCCATGTGGGAGACCTGGATGGAGTTCCTGGCTCCTGACTTTGGCCTGACCCAGCCCTGGTTAGTGTGACCATCTGGGGAGTGAGCCATCGGATGGAAGATTCTCTCTCTCTCTCTCTCTCTGCTTTTCAAATAAAAATAAATAAAATGAAGATTTGTTTCTGATTCTAATGTGTATATATATATATATGTTCACAGTAAAAATAATAGTTGTAAAAAGATACAAAAAAAAAAAATAAATAAAGTGACTGCTATTTGTTCCATAGACTTGCAAACCAGATGGATTCCTGGCTTCAGTCAGCAAGTTTTTGTATCTTTGGCTATTTATTGGAGAAGACAAAGCTTCATTTTCTTATGCATGTCGGGGCATGTACACCATGATTTGCTACACATTTTGAAATCTTACCTTGAATATGAGAAAACTCTCACCGATGCAATTTATTGGCCCAATTAGGTTAGGCTTCACTAACGAGGAAGCGCTTTGGCCTGCCTGCCTGTCCAGTTTGCTCTTTTGAGTTCTCGGAGTTGCCTGTATTTTTCCTGGCTTGGGGGAAGGGAAGGAAGGAAGAACACAGAAGGAAGTTTCAGAGGCCCGGTCCCTGTCACCATGTGTGGGCCTGAAGATGCTGGCGAGATGATCTGTTCCCACCTTAGTTACTAACCCACCATGAACTAACCTCACCGTGATGACGTGCTGGTAGATGGGTGGACAGGTGTGATATGACGGTCATGGCCAACACTCCCATAACCAAAGGCAGGTTAATAAGACAGGAGCAGAACAGACTTATTTAAGTTGCATGTGACATGGGACTCTGACCCAAAGACCCAGGGAAACCGTCTCTTTCTAGGCCTAGGTTGGTGAACCGTGGTCAGCTTCACTGTCGAAAGGTGAGCTGGGAAGGGATACACTGGGGCTATGTGCCCCGATGCTTCTTGGTCTCTGTGAGGACTCCTTCCTCCCGGGGAGGGGACAAGGCCCCTCTGCAATGAGGGTCTTCTGGGAGAAAGGAGAGCGTGAGCTCTCTAGGCTTCATGGCCAGCTTTGGGGGAGAAGGGAGTTCTAGTTTCTGTGACCCCACCTTGACAGTGACAGGTAAACGGCCTTTATCTGGGGAAAATGTTCATGCGGTTATCAGTGGCTAAAGAATGGACACTTGCATACCACTCTACAACTTCCAGTTTTCACAAACCTGGAATCTCATAAATACACTCAGCGCTGAAACTGAAACTGAGCATGGTTTTATATTTCTTTAGCAATTTCCTAAAATGACTCAGCAGGTGTTTTCAGGAGCCCTAGTTAATACAAAACAACAGCTCCACATTTACAAGTACAGCTACAAAGATGGCATTCAAAAACGGAAACTGGTTAACACCTCCCTACCTGCTATGCATCTTTAAAATCTTACCTCATAACTTCAAGTGCAATTATCCTGACAAGTTTGTCCCTTTCTTTCTTTGAAAATATCAAAACCCACCAGCCTTCCTCTCTGGAAAGAGAATGCATCAGGGATTTTGGAGCCGAGCAATGAGCATCTTAAGGGTTTTTGTGAATTGGCCTTGAGAGCAATTCATGGTTAAGGACATAAAGGAGGACTCCGAGCTTACAGAGATTTCTCTCTGATAGGCAGTTGGGAGGGAATTTATGAATATGAAGTTAGTATCGATCCAGATGCTATGAAGCATTTGGCTCCTGGCTTTATTTGCAGGCAAAGAAGAAGCCAGTGTGCATTGAGACTTGGAAGGTGCTTAGCAGCCCAAGATTTCACAAGCAATGAGAGGGGATGAGATCAAGGGCTTATGCGGCAGGCACAGCCTCAGAAAACCTAAGGCTCACCTTTTCCTCCAAGATTGCATAAAAGGAAGAACACATGCAAACTTAGAGTAGATTTTAGAATTGGGAAGGAGAAAAGTTGAAAGGCGTTGTCAGCTGACTTCAGATGTCAGTCAATGATGAAGGGCATAGAGGTGGATTTGGAGGCAGAGAAGGAAGAAAAATAATTTCAATTTAAAAAACTTGTGTTCTCATATCAGAAATTGGAGACAACAGCAGCTGAAAATTGTCGCTCCCCCTCTTCGTGGAGGAACGACACTAAGCCCTGCCTAGGCTTCATATCCGAGTCACGGCACCATTATGTCGCTCCCCCTCTTCGTGGAGGAACGACACTAAGCCCTGCCTAGGCTTCATATCCGAGTCACGGCACCACTTGCTGCTCCTCCGCACGCGGAGGAGCCGCACCGGACCGGGCGCTTGTTGTTCCCTTTTTTTACAAGTCCTTTCTATAGTAAAGTAAGAATAAGTAAACAGCAAACTCCCAAAGCAAGAATGAGTAGAGAGAAATGAGAAAGAACGAAGTAACGAACTTCCCCGCGAACTCTCCAACGCACTCTCCAACCAACCCACACCACTATGCCGTCTCTCTCCTCCTATATAGTCCTCCTCCGCCAATCCCAACTCGGCTGCCCACACGCCGAGCACGCCGCTCTCCTCCAATCAGGAGCAGCTCCTGCAGCTTGTCAAGTTGGTGAGAGGCAGCTGGGTAGAAGCTGTTTACTCCTCCCCAGCGCCATACTGTGGGAGAGCAGATGCATAGAACAAGTCTTAATTCCAGTAACAGTCTAGTCCGAGTTGCTCCCCACAAAAATGCATGAAAAGATGACTGTGTATCATTTAGGCACTGTTTTTTTTTTTTTTTTTCTTTTTGAGAGGCAGAGTTAGACAGTGAGAGAGAGACAGAGAGACAGGTCTTCCTTCCGTTGGTTCACCCCCCAAATGGATGCTATGGCTGGCGCTGCGCCGATCCAAAGCCAGGAGCCAGGTGCTTCCTCCTGGTCTCCCATGCGGGTGCAGGGCCCAAGAACTTGGGCCATCCTCCACTGCCTTCCTGGGCCACAGCAGAGAGTTGGACTGGAAGAGGAGCAACTGGGACAGAATCTGGCGCCCTGACCGGGACTAGAACCCGGGGTGCCAGCGCCACAGGTGGAGGATTAGCCTAGTGAGCCACGGCGCCGGCCTGTTGGGTTTCAATATGCATTTTTAGTAGCTTTCTGCTACTATGGAGGAGGGTAATGGACCAGATTTTTTGTTGAACACCTCGCCTTCAGGACTGGGTGTCAGCCCTGTTGTGCCCTGTTCTTACCCCTGGGCAGTGTGATGACAGCCAAGACCACTGCCTTGCACAAGGAGCTGGACACTCCCCAGGGGATGGATGGGGAAAAGCAACTTTTCCCTTCTCAGAAAGAGGAGCTGGGCAGCTACGCACCTCCCTCCTGGAAGGGCCTCCCTTACTTTAGCCCTCTGCTAAGTGAACACAGTGGCTTCAGGTAGCAGAACCAGCAGCTGGGCTTTAGGAGCCAGAGACATCTCCCAGCTCCTGGGCCTCCCTCTCCCTTGAAAGTCGACTCCCAGGGAAGTCAGCCCCTCCAGCCTCCTCACCCCTTGGACAGTACCCTAGGAACCTTAAACTGAGCGAGGGCGAGTGCACTGGGGCTCTCCAGGTGATTGAGAGCTTTTACTACACCTGCAGAGACAAATGCCTCCAGATTCCATTCTCACAGTCCCTGAATATGCCTCAGGACACAAAGGCTTTTCCCAGGAACACGGAGAAAGGCAGGGAAGCTTCTTACCCCAAAGGGATGAGCTGCACAGGGTTAATCTGTCAACAATTTGGCAGTAGAGTGGGAAGATGTGTGAAAGGCTGGGGAAGACTGAGTTGCAGGTGGGCACGTGCAAAAGCCTTGAGGTGGGAAAGGCCTTCATGTAGTCCAGAAATGAAGAGTCTAAAATGTCTAGAGCTTAGGGACAGTGGGAACATAGTGGTGGAGAGGCAGGCACTGGCCAAATCCATGCATAATTTTTTCATAATGCACATTTTTCATGGACTTTAGAAAGACCCCTCATATGCATGTATATCAGATTTTTTTTTGC